GTCGAGGCGCATGAGGTGACGTGGCCGAGAAGTTGGCTTTGGAGGTGGAGGTGGCTCGGCTTAAGGAGTCATTGAGCGAGATGGAGGGCCGAGCTCTTGCGGCTGAGGACGCCGAACAGATGAGGGTCCGGGAGGTGGAGGAGATGACATCAAGGGAGGTGCAGGCCAAGGTCGATGCCGAGGCTGCTTTGGCTCGTTTGAAGACCGATTGTGAAAATAAGATAATCAAGGAGCACGAGGACGGCTTTTGGCACGCTGTTCGGCGTGCAAGCCCACCACTTCGACACCTTTCCTCCCGACTTCTCCTTCAATCTAAGGAAAGATTTCTTTCGGGGGGCATACATGGACTTTGCAGATGCCCCCAATGATGTTGAGCCGAACGAAGTGGCTCCTCCTCGCTCGGCCGCCCCTGAGGATCCTGGGGCTACTGTGAACGAAGATGAGGAGACTGAGCAGACCACCCATGCCGATTGATGGGTTTCAGCTTTTTTGCTTTTTGGTTGTACATCTATTTTGACGATGATGTATAGATATAGGGTGCTTTTTGTTTCCGCTTTTGATTCTTTTGCTTGTGGTTTGACTGTCGGCCACTTTTGATTTCTTGGGCCTTTGGAGCCTTCTCATTATTGTACCCTCGACCATTAGTGCCGTTTTAATGAAGTATTTCTTTTTTGTTATATATTTGGACTCTATTTTGTTTCTTGTTATGCTCCTACGCACTTGGTCTTGCTCGAATCTTTTATCAATTAATCTTAAATAACCAAGTCGGCTCGGATTCGTATTGACACATAGGAAGAAAGGTTATCGTATGTGACCCATTGGGTGTCCACTTAGTAGGTTATCGGTTGTTCGTCCTTGGCCGAGCGTAGGTGCTTGGGAGGAATTTCAAGTATGCATCCTTGGCCGAGTAGTAGGTACTCAGGAGGAAGTCTTTGTCCATCCTTGACCGAGTAGTAGGTACTCGGGAAGGAATGAGTTTTTCAACCTTGGCCAAGTAGTAGGAACTCGGGAGGGAGTCTTTGTCCATCCTTGGCTGAGTAGTAGGTACTCGGGAGGGAATGAGTGTTTCAACTTTGGCCGAGTAGTAGGAACTCGGGAGGGAGTGAGTTTTTCAACATTGCCCGAGTAGTAGGTACTCGGGAAGGAGTGAGTTTTTCAACCTTGGCCGAGTAGTAGGCGGGAGGGAATGAGTTTTTGACTTAAGATTAGACAGAAAAGTATAAGATTCTCGTAAAGGGCTTGTTTCATTAACATGATGCCTCGTTAAAAACCTTTTCTCAAGAAAACCTCTTTTCACACTTTTTTAAGAGGAGAAAACCTGGAAAAGGAAAAGAGTGCACGAAACAATTACATGAGGATTGCTAGCTAAAATAATGCTTCAAGTGTGTCACGTTCCATGTTCGCGGAATGATCTTCCCATTAAGCTCCTCAAGCTTGTAAACTTCATTATTCAGATTGTGTCGTATTCGGAACGGTCCATCCCAATCGGGGGCTAGTTTCCCTTGAGTCCTGTCTCTTCTTGCTTCTCTTACTACCCTCCAAACGAGGTCGCCTAGATGGAATTCTCGTGGCTTGATTTTGGTCCTGTGCTTTCGGGAAACGCGTGCTCTACATGCTTCCATGTTGATGAATGCTCGATCGCGCGTTTCCTCAATCAAGTCAAGTTCTACGTTGAGTGCTTCTCCATTGGCTTCTTCAGTGAATTGTTGTCGTCTGAGAGAGGGTTCCCCTATCTCCACCGAGATCATGGCATTGGTTCCGTATGCTAGCCGGAAGGGTGTTTCTTTGGTCGAGGTCTATGGAGTGCATCTATAGGCCCACAAGATCTCGTATAAGTGATCAGGCCATAGTCCCTTAGCTTGTCCGAGGCGTCTTTTTAATTCCCTTAGAATGACTTTGTTGGCAACCTCTGCTTGCCCTTTGGATTGGGGGTGCTCCACCAAAGTCACCCGGTGTTTGATCTGAAGTCCTTCGAGGAATTCATTGAAGCGGCAATCCGTGAATTGTAGGCTGTTATCTATGATGAGGGTGTATGGTACACCGAAACGGGTGGTGACGTTCTTCCAAAAGAATTTTTGGACGTTACTAGCTGAAATAGTGGCAACTGCTTCTGCTTCGATCCACTTGGTAAAATGGTCGACTGCCACTATGAGGAACTTGACTAGCCCTTTTGCTGGTGGGAATGGTCCTAGGATATCCATATCCCATACCAAGAAGGGCCAAGGGGTCGTGATGAAATGTAGCTCTTCGGCCGGTAGGTTTGTTAACGGGCTGTGTTGCTGACACGGCTTGCATTGTTGTGTGAATTTTACGCAGTCACTCGTGAGGGTGGGCCAGTAGTACCCTGCTCGGATGACTTTGGCGGCCAAGGTCCGTCCTCCTGAGTGCGTTCCGCATATGCCTTCGTGGATTTCATGGAGGACATAATGTGCTTGCTTGGGTGCAAGACACTTCAACAAAGGCGAAGAAACGCCCCGCTTGTACAGCTCTCCTGCAATCAGTGTGTATCGGGCGGCAATGACCCTTAACTTCCTTGCTTTGAGGGGGTTGCTGGGTAATTCCCCGGTTGAGAGGTGGCGTGTTATGTTGGTCATCCAATTGTCATCTCCCTGTTGGACTTGCAAGCATTCGGTTTCCCAACACTAGGTGTTTGCAATTCTTGCTGTATGACACTACGCAAGTGGCTAGTCTTTTTACTGCTTGCCAACCTGGCCAATTGGTCAGCTCTCATATTAAGTTCCTGGGGTGTGTGTTCAACGTGGACTTCTTTGAAGTTATTCTTCAGCTTCTGGAAAGCATGGAAGTATAAAAGTAACGTTGGCTCTTTGATTTGGAAGGTGTCGTTGACCTGGCCTATTACCACTTGTGAGTCGCTCCAACATTTGATTTTGGTAACGCCCAAGTCATTTACCATCCTTAAACTTGCAAGAAGAGCCTCGTACTCGGCTTGGTTGTTGGAGGCTTTGAAGCCGAATCGTAGTGACTGTTCGACCAACACTTTGCCCGGACCTTCCAGTATGACACCGGCTCCACTGCCTTGTTGGTTTAATGACCCGTCTACATACAGGGTCTAGACTTGCGTTTCGGGAAGTACTTCCGGAGTGAATTCATTTATGAAGTCCGCCATGCTTTGTCTTGATGGGCCCTATTGGTTCGAAACGAATATCAAATTGTGACAGTTCTATGGACCAGGTGACAAGCCCGCCGGCCAATTCGGGCTTCCGCAACACCTTGACAATCGGGCTATCTGTCTTGACGACGACCTTATGGCTCTGGATGTAGTGCCGAAGACGACGGGCCGTGTGTACGAGGGCAAGAACCGTCTTCTCAGGATGTTGATACCAGGTCTCGGCTTCTTACAAGACTCGGCTGATGAAGTATACCGGCATTTGTTTCGTTTGTTCTTGCACTAGAGCCGTGCTAATAGCTTTGTTTGATACTGAAATATAGATGATCATCTCTAACTGGGGATCTAGTTTAGCAAGCAACGGCGAGGCGGTAAGCATTGTCTTGAAGTTTTGAAACGAAGACTCGCATTCCTCAGTCCATTGGAACTTACTGGCCATCTTCAATAAGGACATTATGGGTCTTGACTTCTCTACCATGCAGGGCAGAAAACGAGCTAATGAAGCTATGCGCCCGGCCAATCGTTGTACTTCCTTTACGTTTCGTGGGCTTCTCATATTGACAATGGCCTGACACTTGTCGGGGTTAGCCTCTATGCCTCTCTTTGACAACATGAAACCTAAGAACTTTCCACCAGCGACTCCGAAGGTGCACTTCGCTGGATTTAATCGCATGTGATGTCGTCTCACTTTGTCAAAAATTGTTCCGAGATCCTTTAGGTGATCACTGGTGGAAGGCGATTTAATCACCATGTCATCCACGTACACTTCCTTGCATTTTCCTATCTGCCGTCGGAAGATCTTATCCATGAGTCGCTAGTAGGTTGCCCTCGCGTTTCTCAAACCGAAAGGCATTACTTTGTAGCAAAAGTTGGCTGAATCGGTGATGAATGCAATTTTCTCTTCATCCGGTGGGTACATAGGTATCTGATTATACCCCGAGTAAACATCTAGGAAACTTAGCCTTTGGTGACCTACCACTCCGTCGACCAATGCGTCTATGTGTGGAAGGGGGTAGGCGTCTTTTAGGCATGCCTTGTTCAGGTTTGTGTAATCGGTACACATCCGCCACTTGCCATTCACCTTCTTGACCATTACCATATTAGCCAACCAGGTGGAGTATCTGACTTCCCTGATGAACCTTGCTTGCAGTAGCTTGGTCGTCTCTTCTTTCACTGCTTCAGCCCTTTCTCCTCCCATTTTTCTTTTCTTCTGGGCAATAGGCTTGGCATCTCGTCACACGGAGAGCTGATGGCAGTGGAAACTTGGATTGATGCCTGGCATATCGGCCACCGTCCAGGCAAATAGGTCCGAGTACTGCACAAGGATTTGCTTAATGTCTCTTGCTTCATTCGGCGATAGTTGGGAACTCAAGTACGTGACCTGTTCTTCATTTTTCCCAAGTTGAAACGAGATTGTGTTCTCAATCGGCTCAACGCGGTGCTCGTCTTCTATCCGGGGATCCAGCTTCAGGTCTATGATCGGATTCTGGTGGTACACATCGCCAATGGCATTGACTTCCTGTCTTGGCTTCGGAGTTGGCTGCACCTTTAAGCTGGCGAGATAACATTCGCGGGCCGTCTTTTGATCGGCGTGCAGAGTGATTATCGTTCCTTCTTCAGAGGGGAACTTCATGGCTAGGTGTGGGGTGGAGATGATGGCTCGGAGCTTGTTCAGGGAGGGTCGACCCAACAGGATATTGTATGAAGTGTTAGCATGCACCACCACGTACCGCACTCTAATCCTTCGCCTTTCCTGGTCGTCCCCGAAGTAGGTGTATAGGTCTATCATCCCCCGAGTATCTACTCTTTCACCTGAAAATCTAACCAAGGGCTCGTTATAAGGTGTTAACTCGTGCTAGGGTATACCTAACTGTTAAAAGGTCTTCCAATATAAGATATCGGCCGAACTTCCTTGATCAACAAGCGTCTTGTTCACAATACAGTTGTTGATCTCCACACTGATGAACATGGGATCATCTTGCACTGGGTCGACTCCTTGGAAATCTTGATCGGTAAATGTAATAGGGGGCATATGGACCGAAGCTGTCCGGCCTACGGCGTTTACCGATTTGATTGCCCTCAAGTGTCTTTTACGGGCTGAGGACGTGCTTCCTCCTTTTGCAAATCCTCCCGCAATGGTGTTTATTACCCGCCTGGGTTGATTTTGGTCTTGTTTCCGGTTGTTTCTTTCTTGAGACTTGCTTCGTTCATGAGATCTGTCCCTCAAAGGTGCTCTGTCTCGGTTCTCTCTTCTATATTCTCTCTTATCAGAATGGTAGTCGTGCTTTCTTCCATTCGAAGATCGAACGAAGCTTTGAAGGTGTTCAGCTTTGACGAGGTCTTCAATGCGGTCTCGAAGTGCAGAGCATTCCTCAGTGGTGTGTCCTCGATTTCTGTGGAACTGGCACGCTTTTGATTTATCCGCATGGGGCGGAGTCATAGCTCTTCGGGGTACAGCCATGACTTCTGTGGCTAAGGCCTGCTCCAACACCTTGGCCCTGCTGGTGTTAAGTGGCGTGTACTGCATGTATCTTGGCCCCCTGTTATTCTTCTCACGGTCAGGTACGTCGCGGGGACGGGATCTGGGGGGCTCCTTGTCACTTTCTTTCTTCCCGAGGAAAAGGTCGGGTCGGATTTGACTCCGAAACTCGACCAATTCCTCCATTTGCATGTATTTTGTGGCCCTCTGCCTCAGGTCGTCCAAGTCCCGGGGTGGCTTCTTACATAAGCTGTTGACGAAAGGACCGGGCCTTAGTGCCGTGGTCAGGTGATGCATTGCCACAGCCGGGTCTAGGTTTCAAATAGAGAACGTCATTTTTCCGAACCTTTCCATGAAGGTTCTTAGAGGTTCCTTCTTCTCTTGGAGAATGTTGACCAATGCGATTGAGGTGAGCTGATGAGGACGACTCATGGCAAACTGTATCACGAACCGGGAAGATAAGGTTGTGAATGAGTCTACCGATCCGGGTGGGAGTCTCGTGAACCAATTAAGTGTCGGTCCTTTCAGTGAGGTAGGGAAGACTTTACACATGATAGCATCGTCATCAATGTACAAACTGACCTGAGTAACGAATCCATCAAGGTGTTCCTCTGGGTCGGTGGTTTCGTCATACTTTTTTAAGGCCAAGTTTTTCCAATTGTCGGGCAGCCGGGCTCCAGCAATGTCTGGAGTGAAAGGCGTCTTCCCTTGCCTTCGTTGTTGATCCAAGGTCATCGTCGTCACGCCACCAGGCGGCCGGGGGGCCCTTGTCTCTTTGTACCATCCCGAAGACTCCCCCTGATCTCTTGTTGACAAAGTATTAGGGGTGCCGTGGGATGGATGCCAGGATCGGTTGTCACTCCTTAATTCCGCGTTCTCCTTTCTCAGTACCGATAACTCATGGGCGTCCTTCTCCCGAAGTCTCCTTAACTCCATCATCTCAGCCTTTAGCTGTTCTATGGCTGATGAGGGGTTGGGAGGTTGAGATCGATCCACATAGGACTCCTCCACTCCTTCGTTATGATTCGTCTGTTGCCTGGGTTCTCGGGGCATCCCGAGGTTGTGAGCTGCTGCATTTTCCCGCTGACTCTTGGTTGCTACCATCTTGATGACTCAGGGTCGAGAATTGTTTTGGTTTTCGGCCCCACGGTGGGCGCCAAAATGTTCCTGTGTAGAAACACTCCTCCTATTGTTCCTTCTTAGCGATCTTCCAAGTCTTCGATGCCGATCGAGCTCTGTCTACACTGGGGGGGAGGGTACATGCAAAGGCACTCCGACGATCAAATAAGTGTTCGGTATAGAGCAATAAATACTTTTATATTGGATAAAGCGTACCTCATTTATGTCCCATCACCTGTGTATTTATAGTGACGTATTTGGGCCTGGTGGGCCTTCTGTCTTGGGAGATGGGTAATACCTTGGTTAACCTTGATCTCTCTTGATTAGATGTAATGATTATTGTGTAATGGATATCTTAATCTTGCCATATGTTTCCCATCAGTTGACCTTCTTCGAGTCTTCGGTCAAGCTGTAAGCCGAAGAGGTATTCGGTCGTGCTTATGACCGAGGGGGTGTTCGGCCAAGTTTAAGGCCGAGGGGGTTCAACTAAGCTTGAAGTCGAATGAGTTCCAACGGAGGGTTCGACCAAGCTTACGGCCGAAGGGGGGTTCGGCCAAGCTTAAGGTCGAATGGGTATTCGGTCATGGTGTAAGCCGAGAGGTGGTTCGAGCATTTCCTCTTGATGCTCTTTTGCCCGGTTTTGGGGTGCTTCGTTCCCCTCTTTTCTGTCAAGAAAGGTATTCGGCTATCCTTAAGGCCGAAAAGGAGTCTCAGGCCAAGTTCAAGGCCGAAGAGATGATCTGAGTGGGGATTTCGTTGGTTTAGGTGCTTCTCTCGGCCTGAGTGGGGATTTCGTTGGTTTAGGTGCTTCTCTCGGCCTAGGATCTGACCGAGGGGGTGCTTACTAGTACAACACCAAATTTTTGTAAAATGAAACAAAATGAACATGTAACTTGGATTGACAAATGAATAAATCGAATAATTTTTTAATTAGGAGAAAAATTTTCGTTCCAAATATAATTTTTACACGTAGGTTCATGCTATTTGGAAAGTATTTTCGTTGGATTTAATTTTCCTCGTAAAAATTAATGCGTGCCTCCTAATTAATGCTTAGAAGTCTATGATAGTCTATTTTTCTGGTTATGTGAAAAAGAAATAAGAAAGTTATACATTATTGTTTATCTTGACCCATGTACGTCCGTCGACTTCTTAATCTTAATCTTAACATTCAACACGGTACAAAGATGTACGTACACGTACACTTGGAAGTTGGAAGAGTTTGAAAGAAACCCATTGATGACCATATTCAATTCATATTAGATGCAACTTCATGGAAGCTCAGATGAGAGGGACCAAGTGTTATTCTGAAGAGAGCCCAGACCCGGTCGTATTTGACATATGATATCTAATTCTATATATATAATCTAATAATCGTGAGATCATTGAATTAAGAAAAAAGAAAAAGATAGAAGATATTAGCAGAGCCAGAGAGAAAATTTAGAAGCAGGTTGTGTAGAGGTTACTATGGGGAGTCTTTGCTTTGGGGGAAAGAAGAAGAAGAATAGAAAGAAGAATAATGGGAGTGCTAGTGTCCCTAATGGAAGATTTGGAGGTAAGCAACACCAACCTAAGCCGAACAAAAAGGAGAACTGTCTGCTGAGTTGTCTTGACGGTCTCTGCTCAGGTTTTGGTGATGCTGTTGATGCTGCCAATGATGGTGGTGGTGGTGGTCACGGTGGAGGCTTTGATGCCGGAGGAGGTGGCGGTGGTCACGGTGGAGGAGGTTGCGGAGGTGGTGGTGGTGGAGGAGGAGGTTGCGGTGGTGGTGGTGGATGTTAATGAGGAACACTTCTCAACAATTAATACTTTTGGTTTTCCGAGTGTATGATCTTTCATAGGCATGTTTAAAGCATTGTTGGACACCAAATGTAGACATGTCTTCTGGCAGGAAGGGAAAACTTAGTTCACTACATTTAAAAACTCAATCTTTGTTAGTACTTTCGATGAATATGCTGTCATGATATATCACAAATATAGTAAATTATTGTTTGATTAGTGTTAGGTTATATGACTCAATATATTGGCAAATATTGCTATCTTGTAAGTTGAATGTACATGTGTGATAATGATTTGGATACCAAAGTATATTATTTGTGTGACACTGTGAATGTGAAGTGACTAGCGGTTATGATTGTTTACTATATGTAACAATTAGTTTGTATACGATAGGTATAGTTAATCATTTTCTTTATGCCTTCAAAATTTTATGCTATAGTTTTTAAACCTAAAAAAACTTATCTTAGTTCTTACTTAATCATTTTTAGTTATGTTTTTGTTCTTTGTAGTCAAATATATTTAACGTTGTTTACCGTACCACTAATTGTGGACTCAAATTGTGTCTGCATTTTCTGTCCCAAACCATCTCCAGTTAAATTGGGACACGCGTCAATTAAAATTTCTAATTCATATTTAAATAATTTTAACGGAAGAGGCATTGCTATTGAGATTCTGAAGTTGGAGAATGAACGGTGGATTTGTCAAAAGGGCCAACCCATCCCCAAAGCTCAGTCTACGTGAGCCAAGGTCAGAAAAGCTCGCATCATTAAAATGTCTACTTATAAAAATTTTACAGGGCCAAAAAGTCCATATAGTCTATAAGATTAGGGCGATTTTATGGACCAATTTTTATTTGTAAAAATAATAAATTAACTATTAAAATTTATCATAATTCATTGTATAAAATAATTTACTTCATATACTAATTAGGATGTATTCTATGAATTAATTTTCGATCTTTATTTTTTTCAAAATAAATCTTTAAATTAAGATAAATTTATTTTAAAATAGGAATAATATTTTAATCAACATTAACATTTAAAAAGTTAATAAGATAATCACATTTTCTATAAATTTAAGATAAATATATTAATTAACATAAAATAATCATTAATTAATTAATAATTACATTCAAAATTGTGCAATTAACTAATATAGCTTACACAAGTTATCAGAATTAACTAACATAGTTTATATAGAACAAAAAAATTTGTTTAAGTTTTTGTTAAATTGTATTGCACTTCCAAATCTTGTATTTTATTTTAAGTGATTAATTTTGTTAAGGTATATTCTATCATATACCATCATATGAATATTATTTTTTCTATATTAAAAATTGATTTAAATTAAAATTAATGATATGTCAATTTATTGTCTATATATAAAATAACGTAAAAATAACCTTAAGTCATTTTTTTTACTTTTGACTTTTTTTTGTTTTTTAAAATAAAAAAATTAATGTAAGGAAATCAAATTAAAAATATTTAACCAAAACATATTTTGAGAATTAAAATAAAAAGTACATAAATATAAAAAATAAAATTAGAAATCATGTCCAAAAGGTAAAAGTCGTCGATCTATGTTGTTGTTTCCACCATATGAGAAAAGAAAAAGTCTAATATTTGGTGATGCTATGTCTAGAGATTGATCTAATTAATTTGTACGATTTTTAGAACAAAATTATGATTAAATTATTAAATTTGGAACTAATACCTAAATTGGTTTAATGACTGTTTCGATTTTGAAAATGTTGTAAAAATGGATATAAATTCATACTTGAAAACTTTTATAACATCATATGTTATTTATAAAATTCTACACGTAGATTTAAATTATTATATAAAATAAATAAATAAAAATAAGTTAACAAAAACATTTCTTATTATTTTTTGTTAAAAATAAAAATAAATAATGTAAAAAGTGTGGGAGGCCATGGCTCTAGCCCTTTTTTATTTGGGATTGATTGAGTTGGGACTTTAAGCGCCACCACTAAGTGGGGCTAAAATAAATAGGACTTTTATGGAAGGGGCATAGGCTAGCCCCAAGGCCATAGGCCAAATTGACATCTCTAATTAAGGGGCAGAAGACTACTGCTATTAAGAGTTTGTAGTTTGATTGATAGGTTCTTGATTAAGTCATTGTCTTTAGTGCAGTCTTGGTAACATTTATGTTTAATCCTTTGTATTTGTACTTTTAAGTATGGGTGGAAGGAGTTTAGGCCTCTGCCAACTACTACGTTTGCCTTTACCATTCAAGTTGAGCACCCTTACCCTATTTTTATTGATAAGGAGATCATTATAAGTATAGTGCATGCGGATACAGGTAACTCGCAAATCTGAACCGACCCAAATTAACTTAATTAGTTTGAATCAATTTTTTTTAGTGTTTAAATCAAACTCAAC